CCCCCCCACGCACACACACACACACACATTCATCTCTCTGTTTTGCATTCTTTCTCTCTGTGTGCTATATCATGCCACATGCACGCACATACTTTAACAGGGAGCAGTGCTGGCTTAACGTATTGTGAGTAAGAAAAATAAACAGACTTGCGGGGGTGTTGATACACTGGAGTAAAGAGGTTTGATTGGAAAAAAGAGAACCACTGCTTTTTTGTAAATAGACACGCCCTTACAGGTGAATGAGATTTCACCTGAAGCTGTATGAACATGAGTTGATATTCCAAGAAGATAGCGTTTGTTGATTCAAGATTTATTGATTTACTGGCAACGATGTTTGCCTTTATTGAGTTGCATTATACACACACAGAGTTCTGGCAATTGTTGTCCATCCTTTTGTATATTGCTTGTTTTAGGATCATTTATAGGATACCTCTTTTCCAGCCCTGTGTCATTGTTGGTTAATTGATAATACTCTAATAATATCCTGTGATCAGGTGCGTCTTTTGGGCAGTTGTCCAGCCCAGTGACTGTCCTTTGAAACAGATTTCATATTCTACAATTTTGCTCTAAGATGGTTTCTAATATAATTTTTAATAATGTTTGATATGCCTAATCAGCACTATGTCAGGAAGTCAGACATCTGCTGAGCCAAGACTGACTTGCACTGTAGGTTCCAATGAAAGCGTGTCTCAAAACAAAAGCAGTTTGTTCAAAACAGAAACTAAAATCCTGGAGGTATGATGCAGTATGTTTTTTTTTAAAGATGTCTCAAAGCGAGAAAGCAGCATAAAGTGTGGATTATATGACTTCCCCTAAGATGAGGTTATCAAGGTCCACAGATCAGTCGTGGCAGTGACCGTGCTGAATGAACTTGTTCTTACAGAGCGTTCACTCGGCGCCCCCTGCTGTTTTTACGGAGAGAAGCGAAACCTTGGCACCACACCGGGGTTTGCCATAGGCTACAAGACGCTATCCTTCAAGCTGGAAAAGGCAGGTTATTATGTTTATCACCGTGTAATTATATTATATTACATGGAAAATACGCATATAAAATTAACAACATCAAAACACAGCTGATTATTATATGGCACTCAAGCATATGAATGCAGGAGTGTATGGATTCTTAAGGCAGGTTTAGAAAGTCCCCAAAGTGAACCCACTTAAGCTTTTATTTATATTTAGTGGTGTAAAATAAACTTTACCCCATCGTGATTTCCTGTTTTTTCTATGTGTGTCATCCTTAAATATTTCAGATAATCAAATAAATTCAAATATTAGAAAATAATAACGCAAGTAAACACAAAATGCAAAACCCCCCAAACATACACATACATAATGACAATAAAATGATTGTGAATTCTCTCATGGAAGTTCCAGCTGAATGTGAGCCAATAAACAGGCTTAGGGTAACCGGGTGTGACTCTACCCTCCGGTATTGGATGACGCAATGCTGATAGCGGAGCGATAATAACAGCCGGCCCCGAGTACGAATTTCAGATTCTGTCCCAGAATTCTCGAAGAAGAAGTCACTTTGCCTTAACTAACATGTAATGTAAGTGTAAACTAAATGTAGCCACATAGTACAGTAGAAAAGCGCAATCTAGGCACAGAGGGGCAAAAACTATCAGGGAATTTCGTTTTCTTCAAAAGTGTAAAGTGGCTTTGGATGATGTAATTGCTATTTTTCACCGCCAGATGCTGCAAATGTCCTTTAGAAAAACACGATGCAAAACTCTCCGTTTCCACGCTGACCTGTTGGTGTTTTTGCTGTTAAGGAAAGTTTTACACATACAAAATATATTTCTAAGATTCGAGTCGATGCTGAATGAAACTAAATTCAAATAAAACAAACAAACAAAAAAGGCTTCAGTTTAGAAGAAAATGGTTGCATGAAGCTGTCCAGTCACGCTGTGGTGCTGAAATGTTGCATCCGTGCACCAGCACATTTGGGTTTGGGTTCATCTAGCCTGTATCATCCTACAGACGTAAATGGGATTATTATAACATAAGGGAATCTTTTTTAAAACACAGATGGGAAATGAAGAGATGCCGTGCATCTGAAAAAGATTTTTCCGGGATAACCTGTCGATTACGCGCAAACAAAGTGGACCTGCAGGGCACAGACTCGAGAGGTAGCCGTAATATTATATTTCCTTTCACAATCATCTCATGAATCGCGTCTCTGCGAGTTTTATAACTGTGTTCAGAGACACGCTTGCAGTTTGCAAAGCTGTAGCCTGGATACAGCAGAGAGCGTCCTTGGCATTTGCGATTGTAAAGAGCTGGAGGGGGGGGGGTAAGACTGATAATTTGAAGACTTGCCAGAGGTACATTGTCAAATTCAAAAGGCATTTCAAAGAACCACACCATTCACTTTTTCATTCTATCTTCTTTTTTCTTCTTTCTCTGTCTTTTTTTCCTCCCTTTCTTTCTTTTCGCACGGTTGCAGACTGTTTGAATCGACCAATGGGCCTTCAAGTTAGAGACATTGGAATGTAAATGAGCCCAGCGCGTGCTCCCGGCGCAGTGAAAGCCCGGGATTGTTTATTGAGCTCCCGGAGCCACGCGCCTGGCCCGGGGGAGTCGGTGTGCAGAAGAATCACACAGCGGGGGCGGGGCCTCGCCACGAAGCGTGCGTCTCAAAAAAGGGGTGGGTGGGGTGTGTGTTGGAGGCGCGTGTTGAAAAAGAGGAGTGCTGCCAAAGTTTGGGTCAGATCGGCTCGTGGAGTAAGCAGTCAAGAGAGACTTGGACTAGAGTTAGCCACACGGTCCCCACGCGAAGGACACGAGAGCTGTACACTGCCAACTCTTCTCCTCCTGCCACAAGTTTCAGGCTGTCCCTCTTTGCGAGATGGAAACCGCGACCATCACCACCACGCAGACTGCATTCACCTTTGGACTTAGCGAAAGACGCGCCAGCATCAGCCTGCACGCCCCGGCCCAGGACTGCTCGGTGAGCGCTGTGCACCAGAACACCAACGTTGCCGGCTACCAAAGCAAAGCCAAGGTGCTGAAGAGACAGCGCTCCAGCTCTCCGGAGCTCCTGCGCTGCAAGCGTCGCCTGAGCTTCAACGGCCTCGGCTACTCCATCCCCCAGCAGCAGCCTGTGGCCGTGGCCAGGCGGAACGAAAGAGAGAGGAACCGGGTCAAACAGGTTAACATGGGCTTCCAGACTCTGCGTCAGCATGTGCCAAACGGCGCCGCCAACAAGAAGATGAGCAAAGTGGAGACGCTGAGGTCCGCGGTGGAGTACATCAGAGCTTTACAGCAACTTCTAGACGAACACGACGCGGTGTCGGCTGCTTTCCAGTGTGGACTGCCATCCCCGACACTGTCCAACAGCTACTCTGCCGACCCGGAGTCGCCTCACTCCACCTACTCATCAGATGAAGGTGGCTATGAGCCTCTGAGCTCAGAGGAACAGGAGTTATTGGACTTCACAACTTGGTTTGACAGGTACTGAGGCTGTCATGTCATAAATGAACCGCATAGCAGCGTGTGCGCGCAAAAAAGAAGAAAAGCGTCTGACTTCTTCCAGAAATGCTTCGAAAGACTCGATTATGGCATCAGATCTGTCTTGCTCTCTGTGCTTCCAAGTGATCTGTTGCCTCCCTCACTCGGGCTGCATCTGCAGGAGCAAAGCAATAGTGACAAACAGGGAGAATGAGTATGAATGCGTGAGAGAGGGAGCATCTTATTGCATAGAGCGTAGTCCTCACAGGAAGGAGGGAATTGGACACGTTGACGCGTGGAAGTAAAAAACTGTTTGAATAAGTGCAATTAAAATGTGACACAGCAGACTCTGCAGGGACTGCGCTGTCTACAAGATCTGTTCGTCAGTAGTTCATCAGACCCGGACTGCCTTCCTCAGCTGCCACATCTGTTGAAGATGTACAACATAAAAGATGCGTCAACAGACTTTTGTTTTTCTTTTTTCGTGATGTACGTGTCCTCTCCTTTCATAACAAAGCTGTACCATACAACAAACTGTTTTAACACGAAGACATATTTTTGTACATACAGTCAAACAGTGTTGTAGCAGAACGTTCACTGCCACTTTTTTTCCTGACAGTGTTTTGACAACCAGCTGTCAGCGGGGCGGCGAGCTGGCATGTATGAGTTGTGTGACTGGGCAGCAACATCAAGGCTACTGCCTGTAGTTTATTTGTGTGTGTATGTCTTTTTAAAAAAATAGTTGTCAAGGAGACATTTATTAATGTATGCACTCTCAGCTTCCCGTAGCCTAAAATGTAAATATTTGATTTTAACAGATATATTTTGTGTAAAACAAGTTTTATAAATAAAGATTAATCTATTTATATTATATGTTTTTGCAGTGGCTTGGTTCTTTAGCTGATATTGCGTGTGCGTGTGAGTCTGTGTGTGTCAGCAGCGGCGCTAATTGAGCAAACGAGGGAGCTTCTCTTTTATTCAAAGCCCCTGCATGACCTTTTGCCGACTTGGTTGGGCACACGGGAGAAAATTGCGCAGCTGGGCGAACACTCACCAACCATTATAAATGCGCACCTTCCACGGCGCTTTGTCTGCATTCAGGGCAGGGAGATTAATATTACGTTTCATCCATGCATTGTTTCTTTTGCGTACTCTGCTTTTACCCAACGTCCCAGAGTGCCTGGAGCTGAGGGAAAGGAGGGGGTGGGGGTGGCAATTCACTCAAAGGGTATAGACACTTTGAAATACAGCCTGGGGAAAGTCAGCAAGACAATGAGACGGGGTCAAAATTCTTATTGCCCGATTGAGATCAATCTAAATGAAACCTGGGGTTGTAGACTAGTTGTATCCCCAACTGTGTTTTTCATGGCGCACACAGGCCAATCAAAAAGCCCATCTCCTGCGAAATGGGGAGCACAACGCCCCATTGTGAGCACTATTGTGTGCGCCTTTGCGCCTCATTATACGAATTATTGAAGATCTTCTATTGTAAATAAACACTGATGCCGTGTTCAACTAAGCAGAACGAAGTATAACGAGTTTATTCTCACCTGGCGCGCCTTTGGGGTGTGGAAAACGGGAGCAAGAGAAGCTGCTCTTGTTTGTGAATTGTGGATGTACTTTTCCACAAAATTTAAAGAAGAGACGTTTTTTGAAATCACTTTTGATCACTTCATATATTTCTTAAAAACAAAAAGTATGTAAACACAATAGCCCGATATCAAAACAAATTGTATATCCGGACAAGATGAGTAAGATGTGTCTCTCTCTCTCTCTCTCTCTCTCTCTCTCTCTCTCTCTCTCTCTCTCTCTCTCTCTCTCTCTCT